CATCCCGGGGGATGCCAGACCCAAACCCAACTCCCAGAAGCCAGGGAAAGAATGAGGGCTCCCGTGGGGAGCCTGGCATCCTGGCTTGGTGTGCACCCTCTTATCCTAACACTCTGGGAGGCTGAAGCCGGAGGATCACAAGGTCAAGCTCAGCCTGGACAACTTGGGAGCTTAGCCAGACCCTGTCTCAAAAATTAAAAGGGCTGGGGCTGGAGCTCATTGTGAAGGTCCTAGGTTCAATGTCCAGATCTTTCCCCCCAAATAAAAAGAAGCCCCCATCTGGGGCAACCCCCACCCTGCAGGCCTATGCTCCTAACCGTAAGTGGTGAAATGATTTCAAGGTACCTGCTGGCCACACCCCTCCTCCCTCCTGCCTGGGCTTCTGAACAGGAGAGAGAAGCAGGTGGGGTGCGTTCAAGGGGGTTGTTCATAACCAGGAGACCTCAAAGGGACCGACTTTGGCGATAAATAGAAAGGGAAGTCATAAATCCAGTGCAAGCCCCTGCCTAAACAACCTAGGCTGGGTCCTTACTGGGTCACCTCTGCAACCTGCTGCCCCTTCCTCCTGCTCTGTCCCCCCTCCCCACTTCCTGTTCCCCACCACAAATGGGTCCCAGCATTGCAGGGCTGGCCTCAGAGGGCACACAGTAGGTGTGGCCTGGGCTGCAGGTGGAGAGGATCCAGGCCCTGGAAGAGAACAAAGGCCGCAGTCAGGCAGGCGCGGGCGGCTGCTGTGGGCTGCCCTCCAGGGGCCCTGGCACCAGCCACTGGTGGCCTGTCTCTGTGCCAGGGCCCTGCAGGGTGCACCCTGGCCTCGGGGCTGGGCAGAGGTGGCAGTAAGTGGGGGCCCATGGACTGTTCCGCCACCCCCCCTGCCTGGTGACTCAGCCCTGAGCTGGGCCTCCCCAGAGAAGACAATGGGGACTTGTGGGTGCGAGGGGGTGTCCTGGCAGGTTCGAGCCCTGGCCAGGGTGGAGCTGGTCCCACCCCAGGCAGGGAAGATCTCGGAGCCTCAGTCCCCTCTGTGTTTTGGAGTCCAGCACTTAGGCGCCAGCACCTGAGGACCAAAGCAGGTCTGCAAGGAGTCCATGTGGGATCCGTGGCAGGCATAGCCCTGAGGTCCACGCTTTCCTCAGAAGAGAAAGACTGGGTGAGGCAGAGTTACCAGCATCCAGCACCCAGCATATAACCTGGTACACTGTTGACATCCAAGAATGGCCCCCTAGAAGATGGCTTCTTGTCCTGTCTGGGTGCACTAAAGGGCATCCTAGCTGGGATGGCTGGCCCTCACTTGTCATCCCAGCACTTGAGAGGTTGAGGCAGTAGGATCCATGAAAGGTCAAGGCCAGCCTAGGCTACATCTTGAGAGCCTGTGTTAAAATATAAACAAATAAAAAATAAAGGGCATCTAAGGGACACTGGCCTAGACGGTGGCTCAGGCCTGGGGATGGTAGAGTTGAGAGAGGTGGAGGTCCACAGCGTCCTCAGACACAGGGAGGGGCTGGGCCTGGGGGTGCAGGGTGGGACTGGAGCTGCTCCTGGGACCAGAAGCCTCCACTCTTCTGCTCTCTATGACCACTGGCTTCACTCTCTAGTCTGATGAGGAAACAAGCCCTAAACACAGCAAGGACCTGTTCCTGGTCTCAGGTGGGGAAGAGAAGGGACTGGCACCTGGACAGCCCAGATCCAGAGCCCTGTCCCCAGATGCCCCTGGTGTGGGGTTTTCTGGGCCAGAGTGGTTCAAATAGAGGGTGAGCCCAGCTGGTTGTAGAAGGAAGGGGCTTGCAGACTTGAGGCTTAATCAGGAGTCTCCTGCCCTACCTCAACCCACAGAGCACATCGGTTTTTGTTTGTATTTTGTTTTCTTTTTTACTGGTATTGAACCCAAGGCCTTCACACTGAGCTACATCCCATCCCCCCTCCTCTTTGGTCTTTATTATTTTTTTAAATGTATTTGGTACAGGGTCTCACTACATAGCTCAGACTCACAGTCTTGAGGATCTCAAGTCTCAGCCTCCCCAGTGTTGGGATCACATGCATGTGCAACCACGCCTGTTTTTTGTGGGGTTTTTTTTGTTGTTGTTTGTTTGTTTTTTGCGGAACCTGGGATTGAACTCAGATCCTTGGACTTGCCAGGCAAGCACTTATTCTACTAAGCCATCTCCCCGGCCCCCACACCTTTTTTTGTGGCCTCTCAGTGGGCCTGGGGCCAGGGCTGGTGCCAGAGATTAAAACCCAGTCCCTGCACTTCCCTAAGCAGGCACTTAGTCTGCTGAGCTATCTTGCCAGCCCTCTCCTTGGTCTTTTTGAGATGCTCCCTTTGTAGCCCAATTATCCTGCCTCAGACTCCCTAGTACTAAGATAACTGGAATGTCCTACTATACCTGGCCTTTTTTTGTCCACCCCCCAAAAAAATATGGAACACTTCACGAATTCATGTGTTATGCACAGGGGCCATACCTATCTTCTCTGCATCATTCCAACTTTAATAATGTCCTGCTGAAGCAAGCACCCAATCCTTTTTTTGACAGAGGGTCTCACTAAGGCACTAAATCGCTCACAGTGGGCTGAAATGCCTGATCTTCTAGCCCCAGAGTGCTGGGATTATGGGCAAGCACATTTACACCCACAGCGGCAACTTTTCCTCCCTCAGACCTGCTCCCTGGGCTGGGAGCAGTTGGAGGGACCAGACAAGGTGGGAAAAGCGGTCCAGGCAGGAGTAAAGGCCCCGGGAATGGGAATCAGCCTGATGAAGTTCTAGAATGAGGCAGGGTTGGTGGTAGACACCTGTGATACCAGCACTTGGGAGGCTGAGGCAGGAAAATCGCCGTGAATGCGAGACCAGCCTGAACTACAAAACGAGATTGGCTCAATCAATCAATCAATCAATCAATCAATCAATGTTAAGGGAGCATGATTTCTCTGGCAGACCCCACGAGTCTCGGGACCTTTATATTCTCACTTCTTCATCTGAATCTGTGGGATCTCTGGTTCCCAAAGGCCGGAGAGACATTTGGTGTTAGGAGAATGTTTGCTCAAAATTGATACAAAGACCAGTGAGAATCAGAAAGCTACCTCCCAGTCTTGGTTCTGTTCAACCTGAGTCTGAATCCATTACACACGAAAAAACTGAAAATCACATGGGAAAAGGCACATGGGGCTCCACGCAAGGTTCTGACCCCGAAATGAGGTCAGCCTTTGTTTCTCCGTCAGTTAAATGGGTCGAATTTTGCCTCCATGTTTAGAACAACCTCCTGGTTTAAAACCCAAAGCACAGGAAAGCCGGCCCTAAAAACTTAAATACAACCAAGCCGACCATACCGCTTAGGCGGCCACACCAACCTAAAAATAAATCTCCAACACCTACTCTACCGCGTCTCGCGGCCTCTTGCTCCAAAGGTCCCGCCTCCGGTATGGGGCGGGAACAGAGTTGGGCGGGACCTCATTATAAATGGCTGAAAACTCTGCCAATCAGGCTTTTGTGTTCTCTTGTTGGTTAGTACCTCTCTCACTTATATTTCAATAGCATGCTCCTTCCCTCTAGCGTCATGGACGCTGCGCTGTTTGTGTGTGCCTCCGCGTAGAAAAACAGTCCCTGCCTCTTTCCACTATCTCCATTGACAAGTCTCCACTGAGCACGCTCATTCCTAGATTCTCGACGCCTTAGGGTGCAAGGTACTCCTCCGGGTTCTCGTGAGCCCGAGGCGTGAGTCTGAGCTTCTCAGGACCGCGCGGACGTGGCGGAGGGATCCGCGACTTGCGCCCGGGAGGGGCACAGTGTTAGGCGGAGCCTTGAGGGGCGGGGCCTGTGCGGGGCGGGGCCTGTGCGGGCGGCGCGGGGCGGGGGGCGGAACATGTCTCCCGCCGCAGGAAGATGAGGCAGCGGCGGCGGCCGCGGGCGTAGCGGGCCGGAGCAGAGCCGGACCCGTCGCGGGCGGCGGGCACCGCGGTGAGCCGCACGCCGCTGC